CCCCAACCCAACCCCAACCCCAACCCCAAACCCAAACCCAAACCCAAACCCAAACCCCAAACCCAAAACCCAAACCCAAACCCAAACCCAAACCCATCAAAAAATCTAAGATGATTTAGAACTTGCTTGGATTCCTGATAATATCCATTTACTATTCACGTTCACATGGGCTATATGTCAACAACACTAATAAAGAATGAGATATCAACATATAATAGAAGTTCATCTATCCCTTACAATGGATGAATTGATTATTTAGATTAGAATAAAATAGGCTGAAAATTCCTTAAAAATTAAAGTATATAAAGAATTAGACAAATTAAAAAGAGAACTGATTGAACCTTAAAGCAAAGAAAGCATTCCTTGAGCCGTGATAACAGAATGAATGAGATTTGGAATTTAATTTTGTACCTTAATTTCCAAATTTGGGCAAATAATTAAAAACAGAGTTATATAATTTTAAGCTCTGACAGTCTCCTGCCTGAAATACTAAATTTTTAAATTAATGTCTAGAATTTCCTTTTAATATCAATAACTAGTCTAAACCAATTATTGAAACTGAAGTAAACGCTATGGAATAGAATTAACAGTAAAATAGGAATTAAGGATAATCGAGATTATAAATAATATTGATTTTAACAATGTAAAAAGACTTTGAATGGCGATTTATCTTATATAGGTTTCTATACATATCTAGATTTACATTATTAGATAAATCAAGGCTCTCTTAAACGAAAATGTTTGATATCCTGAAAAATGATTAATATAATGTTTCAAAATCTTTGATTCTACCAATAGTGCAAGATGCTGAATTAAGTATGGCTATTTAATCCTCAGTAAAACTACTAGGTTTGTATAGAACTTTTGATTAGTAGAAGAACGACTTAAATTTGGTATATATTTTTTTATTGTTTGATTTATCTGGATGATTGTCTGAGCTATCCCTAGACAAAATCAATTTATAAAATTTCTCTATGCTTATTATAAATTTACGATCGTTATTTTTATGTTGAGGAGGAAATTATGCAATAATTCAGAATAAAGAAACTTCGGACGAGTACTATACAGATGAGAAAATGTTGCAAATCTGCTGTCAATGTATTTGATAATTATTACTATCCACTAAATAATATAGGTTTTGATGATATGTATCATTAAACTTATTATCACTGAATAATATATACAACAGGGAAATTTCAAACACTATCATCAGTGATCTTGCTTAAGGAATCAAGATTAACTTGTATTGAGAGTAATACTAATGCTACTTTCGTATTTATTTGATTAGAAATAATAGAAATAATGTGACAAAATGTTGGGAGCAAACTTACATGTTAAGATGATGATTTTTTATCATTACTACATGATTACTTTTGAGCAACTTAAACACGAAAATATCAAAACGCGATATTTTTATTAACTTCAGAAGGATTAAGACACCTGGTTCAAATTTTAAAATCTTTTAATATATCATAATTTTTATGTTTGATTTTACAAATGCATTTATGATTAAACTGGCAAATATTAAAGAATAAGCAAGAGCTGTGAATTCAACATTTTTGAAAGAATTATATCAAATGAGAAATGTATGAATCACAATTTTCACGATATATATTGAGATGCAAATAGGAAATCCAACTTCGTTTATTTTCTTTATCATTATGGGTGTATGGGTACAGGGAAAACAATAGGTAGAACTATTCTTTGAGAAGGTAAAGCAACGATTATTACTAGATGTATGAATGATCAAGCAACAAAATATTCCAAAGCTAAACAAATACAAGCATTGGGAACAAACGCAATGGTTACATAGATATATTATACGTATACATTGAGATAAATAAGAATTACATTTAGGACTTGAGAAAGAGATAAAACGTTGGCTTTAGCTGAAGTTGGAAAATACATGTACTGATTGTATTGTTAAAAGCATTAGAAATCATCGCCTAAACAGTACCATATTTTGAGAAAAATATAGCAAATTGGTCAATGAAGCAAAATTATTAGACAAGGTGAAGTTTTCTAGTAACATCTGATAGATTTGACGAAGTAACTAAGAGCAAGACTTAAGATAGGATATTGAATGCAGTAATAATTCAGTAAAGACAGAATACCCATAAGTCGAGGTGTTACTTATTCGTATATTAGCTATAGAAGGACTCTTGGTATTGAAGATGAATCTAAGCAGTACAACAAAATTATAAGGAGATGACAAGCATCGCAATAAAAATGTATCCTTCCAATCAAGAAGCACATTAGGTAGATTCAACATCTCAATATGAAATGGATGATATTAATTTTATGAAAGTAAAAATCAATAATATTTATATTATACATAGACTTGGCTTAAAAGAAAATAATTGTAGAGATATTAAAACATTATAAATTTAATGGAACTGCTAAAATATTGTAAAATAATGTATAAAAAAAATATGATTTTTTAAAGCAAAAAAACCTTTATGCTAGCCATCCATAGAACCCAACAGAAAATGGATTACATCGTTGTAATTTAATCTGTTATAAAGAAGAAACGCTTGTAATCTGGATTAAAAATATTGAATAGTAGTTAACTAGAGAAAGAACTATTTATTTTATATAATAGTTAAAATTTAGATGAACAGCCAGGAAAAAGAACATATTGTAGAATGTTCTGTTTATAAGACACTTCTTACTTAATTATTACATGCTTAAGAATTTAATGCCCTAACTATTAATCAAAGAAAATTTTAATTATGTTAAATCTCAAGACACAGCATAAATTCTCTCAAAATACACAATAACTACAACTAAAAATGATTTCTAAGAGGTTATAACAGAAAAGTATAATTATGTATTAATCAATTTGGTTATGTTTTGAATGCTATATTTTTATTGAAATATTGCTTTCACTATTAGCAAAAAAGTCAAATAAATGAAGTGAATAAGTATCAATCAAAAAAAAATGAGAATATTAATAACTGATGGCTTCCAATTTGTGAAAAAAAACCTCTTTTCCCAGCTATGATTTTCAAACTATGCTGTCAACTAATTTTCACATCAATTCACATTTGCAAATATTTTTATTATCATCATAGCAATAATTGAGTTGATAAATTTAAACTCAAATATTAACTTAGTGGAGCAAAAATATACTTAATAGCAAGTTAAATTTAAAGATTTAATGTGTAAATCAACTTATTATAACATTACATGTTAAACAAAATTAAGATTTTGTAATATTGTAACATATCGATTCTCAAAGTAAATGCACAATGGCAAAACTAGCATAAGAGCTGTAGAAAAAGAAAGCAGTTCAAACTCAATCATTACGGGATGTAAATGTATGAGCCTATTTTACCACATAGTCCAAATTAAATCATTATGCACTATGAAGTTGATTGAAGCATTTTCATCAGTTGTTACAACATAAGCATAATTCAAACTTGAATGCAATTTAGATTATCATTTCACTCCAAAAGATCTCTGGTCCATATTATCATCTGTGTAATTAATTTACATTTTAATCATATGTAGTGCTACTAGCACTATTTTAGTTAGCAACATACTGTTGAAAGGATATTTTTGCATTACCCTTGAAAATTTGGCGTCTAATAACTATTTAATGCCATCATAACTTATCTTTATGGTTTTACTCTTGTTTAAAAATATTCAACGCCATAAAAAATTGTACCTATGTTAATCAGATGCAATATAAAACTTTAACGTAACTTAAAACTTGCTACCTTAATTTAAGTCACACTCCCTTTTTTAGTTATAAAGATTTTACACTGATTTCAATTAACTTTTGTGATTAGACTGGCAATGCCTGTTATGATAAATCCAAAACAAAAGCTCCTTAAGCTGCTGATCTTGATTCAAATGAGGAGGGTGAAGGTTATTTAACTGGATGCATTGGAGCTCAACTAAATCACTCTTAGGGTTATTTTATTTTTGGTTGGAACTTGTGCTAATGCTTAAATATATAATTACCATAAATAGAATGCCATGCCTTCCTGACTACATATACTATAGTTTTCATAGATCTTTGAGGCTGCAAGACATAATTGAGCGGTTGTCCTTATATACAACATTTCGATCATGTTAATTGGCATTTAATGGTAGAAATTTGCTTGGGAATATAACTATTGTTATTACTGGTAATATTCAAATGCTCCAGAACACATGAATTCGATTTTATTGCACTGTTGTCAAGTGAATCAGTAATTTAGGTTGCATAACTTAGATTAAATTCCTGCCAATATCTCACATAACAATAATTTATTACTGACAGCTATGATAATTTATGTACTTTGGGATACAACTCTGGCTAACAACTCAACTCTTATCATTAATGAGGAATAAAAGTTGAATAATGTATTTTTTATGTTTTTGATGTAAATCTTAAATTATCAATAATTGTTTTTTAGATTAGCAATCTTTGAATATTCAAGAATGCTACTTTGAGATACTATGTTTTAATATCATATCATTAATCAGGCTTCTTATTTAGGTCATCAAATCTATGACCCAAATATTTATGGAAAATATAAATAATAGTTTCAAGTATCAAAGTTGATCGTGATAAATACAAAGCAGTAAATTCAAATATTTCAATCTAATCAACAGTGACATCATTTATATTTTAAAACCTTAAATTGTTGATAGGAATTTAAATGAACAACCTACTCAGAGAATATAAAATCTATTAATAACTAAACCCACCTTCATTTGCTTAAGTATAATACTTTTCAGACTTTAAGAAATTATTTAGCAATAAATGAGTTAATAATTAAACAAAACTAAAAAAACTTCATAAATTCTCTACCAAAATAGGTTTTCAATTAGGATAGCAAGTAATTGTAGGGAATATTAAAATAATAATAAAGTTGCCAGATGGGATATTTGATATAGGAATCATTATAATTAGAAAAATGAATAGATGTATTTATTTGTGAATTTAATCCTAGTGGTGGAGGAACATATTAGGAAATGAAAGAATTAGGCTCAATTAAGATTGGAACATGGATTGAATTAAGTGCAAGTTTCTATTATCATAAACAAACCATATTTTAAGGTGAATATAAGAATGGCTAAAAATTGGGTAATGGAAGCGGTTCTTATTATGTGATAATATCTTTTAATTCTGGTATTTTACATTTCCATTCAATTTCTTAGTGGTTTCAAATATTTTGATTTACAAGGCAATAAGGTATATGAGAGTGATAGGTCAATTATATAATTATTTATAGAAATTCTTTCTTTATTTTTTCAGAAGAATTTAGAAATAGAAAAAAGTAGGTAGATGGGAAACTTTTGATAGATATGTTTTCAAAGATATATTAAATTTAGAGGAGGTGGTTTATATGATTTAATTAAAGATAAAGGTTCAATTAAAAATGGAAATTGGATTGAACTGAGTGATGGATATTTTAGTGAGGCGCAGTTAACTTATAAGGGTGAATATAAGAATAACTAAAAATTGGTAGATGGGATATTAGATATAGGAAGGATGGATGGATTTTTATTTGAAAGAATGAAAGATACAATAAAGAATTTTAGTGGTGGAGGATTATACTCTCTAGTTTAAGGAACTGATTCAATAAAAATAGGCAAGTGGGTGGAGTTTACTGCTGGTTTTTTCTGTAAGTCTTAAGTCATTTACAAAGGAGAATATTTAAATGGTAATAAGATTGGTATATGGGATAATTTGTTTAGGAACGAAATTAGTGAATAATTTCACTTAATGTGGGCATATGAATATTATTTTAGTGGTGGAGAGTTATATTATTTGAGAGAAGAATTAGGTTCATTTAAGGGTGGAAAATGGATTGAGCTATCTGAGAATTATGGAAATGGAGTAGGATTATCTGAAGTGATCTATGTTGGTTAATATTAAAATGGCAAAAAAAGTTGGAATTTGGGTGGAAATGAGAAAAGATAAAGATATGATGCAAGGAAGGTTTCAAATAAGAAAGTAAATTAATTAAAATAATTAATTAATATAAATATGCATAATTTCTTATTGTAAATATATGATACTTACTAATATTATAATAAAATAAGAATCTTTTCTAGCTTAAATTAGTAAATGAAAGAAATTAAGGATGATAATTTAGAAGGATTTATTGTAAATAAATTAAAAAAATTATCATTTTTCACTCATCATTGTATCCTTTATGAGAATATACTCTGCAAATAAAAGGCTCTTTAGTTAATTTTGATGGCAGAAAAGGATGATAATGTTGAACTAGGTGAAAATCATCACATGGTTGGCCAAGAGATTGGTGTTGGTACTGTTTTTTTTAACTCTAAACTTTAGATATCTCGCTATTTCATATAGCAAGGTCTCTAGCGTTTATACTTAAAGTTGGGGTTTGCAACAAAAGTTCCAACAAATTGAATGAGTAGAAATTTGATTTTTTAACGCATTTTGTAAACATAGATACTGTGTAAAAAAAAGAATATTAGACATAGAATTAGAATTGGTAGTTAAAACTGAAATAGTGTTTTAAAACAAGACTATACTAAAAATATTTGATAGAACATAAATTGATTCAGCGTTTTGTTAATTAACAATGAAGGTTAGCAAAATCTGAAATTTTCCTCTATAAAAGTTAATTAATTAGAAGAAGGAGCTTTTGAGAAAATCCTATAATTAGGGAGCATAAGTACTTTGGTTCAGTGAATAATAAGCTGCGTTTGACACGATCTAAAGTTGAAATTCTAAAGAGGAGGATATAGTATATTTCTTGTAAGCTATTGGTTAGTGAGATGTTTCTTTTAGGGAAAAGTGAACTTGGAAAATTTTTGCAAGACCTCATATAAAAAGTATTGTACAAAAGCTTTATGAAGACTGGCTTAAAGTGGAACCTAAGTTAATCCATCTTATAGTAATTTACTGGACTAAAAATTTTTTTGACTACTTTGATAAAGGTTTGTTATTTATTTATCCAATATCACTCTAAACACCAACCTATAGTAATCAATATAACAAAAAACCTTGATCCAAAATTTAAGTATCATAGATGGCACTAGGATAAATTAAAGATATATTTTCAAAAAAACTGAAGCCACCAAATTATATTTCAAGATATTAAAGTATTCTAAAGATTTATACGAGTATATAAAAGGACAATCTGTAATTAGGACTAATTGGTTATGTGTCAGTTTTTAATAGCTTTCTTTAATCATGTTGATATTTTATTCATCTTTTTTAGAAAGAAGAGGAGGATCGTAGGTGGCATCAGCCAAACTGCTCTGTGGTGTAGTCTAATATACTTCCTCTGTCATTCAAATTATATCTCCTTAAGATGATCAGACCAAATAAATGTTTGGTTTGCAGGCGTTGCTCTAGTTGGTCTTTTGGATACTGAAGACCAACCAGCAATCCTCTTTCATAGCTATATCCTGCTGAAACCTATGATAACCTATTAATTAGGTATATGGCACAATCAATTTCTCATTGGAATTCAATAGATAATTGGTATATGTTCAGTTTTCAAAGTATATCTGATCAATAGATATATTTGCTTTCGGCAAATTACTAAACATGACATTCTGTTGATGCTGACTGATTAATTGAGCTAAAAATAAACCTTGATAATGGAAAAAAAGCAAAAATAAATGAATTACATTCGCACTCCTAGAAATATTTGGTGAAAGGAAAAGATATTTTTAGCGGAAAATTCTTCAAGATAGGAAAACTGCTCATACAGCTGCAGCTTTATAAAACTGAAATTATTAACTGTTTCTTTTCTATATTTGGCGGTAAAAAGAATAGTTTACTTAATCTATGGAATATGAAAATAAATAAAAGAATTAATTAATTAGGGTAGAATGAATTAATGAAAAAGATTGATAAATGAAAAGATAAGCATTTTTTGAAAAGTTTTAGTATGCATCATAATTCCTCTATAAATATCTGTAAGGATAATTACCTTTTAATGATTTTTTATTCTTTGAGTGGAGTTATATACTTGAAGGTAGAACTAATTTTCAGAGTAAATTTATTATTTTACAAGTTTTTATAGCATTTGAATATCTAAAAGAAATTTATTATTACGAATGAATTCATGTAAGTTGAATTTATTTTCATGTAATTTTCTATTTCTATCAAGGAATAAATGCACACGATTATTCTAATTGATATTTTTTCAATTTTTCATTGATTGATGACTATCTTAGGTGTGTTTAACCTGGATTGATGAGATTTTGTTTACTTAAAATATCAAAAAAATTATATTTCAAAGCCTGGGTTAAATAATTTGGATTGCCTTCATGGCTCCTCAAAAAAAACCATTCAATTCAATATAATGGTAAGATGAATTCTATTTTACATAAAAGCATTAGTGGTGAATATAGCGAATAGCTTTCTTGTAGAGGAGCATGAAAACCCATCTCCAAAGATACAAGGTTGTATTTTAAGTGGAAGCAAGAAATGGAATGGTTCTTGGACATAATGAAGCGAAAACCTATAACTATTAATAATAATTATTAACTGCAAAAAAAAGTTAGAGGTCGAGGAAAAGAGGAGATGTCACTAAAAAGGCACTAAAATACAAAATCATCTTCCTTTAGGACATCACAAAATTCATCAGCTTCTAAATCTTGATTAGGTATTGATGGGAAAGGGCAAAATGAAAGGGTTTTATTCACAAGAAGGACATTAATAAAACATGAGAAAGAGTAGAAGTACTTCTTTATAATAGAATTTGTATCATATTGGTTGGACAAGAAGGAAAGAGGATACAGAAGGAGAGAATAACTACTCAACTTAATGAAGATATAATAGTTAAATCTAGTTATAACTAATTAGAGTTCTTCCGATCATGACCATAAGAAATGAAGTGAGAAGTGTGAAGGAGAATTGATTGTGTTCATGGTCAAAACCTGACGGATTGCTTTGTCTGAATTCAAAAGTCAAAATATATTTATGTCAATAAATTTAGAATGATTAATTATAAATATTATATTTTTCCAAATAATAACTCAACATATATAGCTAATCTAGAATTTATGTATTTTGATTGATGAAATGTGGGTTTTGCATCAAGATTTATTCTATAAACCTTATTAAGAGCTAATTAATTTTTTTATAAGAAGATAACAGCGACACTATTTACCTCATCTAAGAACCATTTTCAGCACTCTACATTGGCCTCAAAAGCTTTGTTTTTGGTGTCGGAACTATTTTTAAATTAATTCATAATGCCTTTATGGTTTGATACTCTATATATGGTAATTTTGGTAGAGATCTCCTCACTAAATAAAACAGTTGGAACATAAAATTTCAACAATGATTGCAACTTTGAGAACTTAAGAAAGTATTGGTCCAATAGGTGTAATTCGCCGAAGATCAATGCACTAATAGAGAACTCTTCTTAAATTCTGCCTTTTATTTGAAAGAAAACAAGGGCTTTATGTAGGTGGTACCTGTGATAAGTATAATTTATGATTACGATAAAATATCATAATCACTACTCTGTATTATCAAGATAGGTTCTATTTAAAATAACTTATACTTAAAAAGAGGACAGCAAGTGAAGAACTCAATTAAATTGATCAAAACATCATTTCACATATGATACTTATGATTAATTCGAAGTGTGAAGAATATTTCTTTATCCTATCTATACATAAACCATTCTATAAGGTATGGTGATTCTAATATTTATACAACCTGAATGTTAACCTTAGTTCCCCAATACGTAATAAGTGATTCACCATTTAAATACAGAAACCAGTCAATCTTTTTAGGACAAATTGCCCTTTGAGAAATCTTCAAGACTTTGATCCATAAATATAGACTTACTATTAATAATTTTCTTATAAATGAGAGGTAGAATCAATCTCGATTTATCAACTTGATAATTGAAAGCTTGGCATTAATGAATAAATATAAAAAATTTAAACTATCCAAAAATAACAACCATTTTTTTTGCCATCCGATAGCCAAAAAGAGAGGTAAGTATTACATTCTGAATGTCGCTTTTCTTTGGCGAATTTACACATTTTTGGCTTTTATTTCATCTTTCTCTATTGAAATAAGAACAATCATATTTTAAGATATAAAAAAGAATCAATGACATATACATAGTCAGGAGCAATAATTTTGCTGAATGATGACTAAACATTTTTTTCTTTTCCCTTAGATAATATAAAAAATTAACTTTCTTATTTTGACTATATACTTTTCCATTTCTTTATGTTTTAAAGACATTTCAATTCTTATTGCACGTTAAATATCATAAAGCTTTCTAAGTTATAAATTTAAAGGATAAATGCTGGTAAAAAAGGACACAAACCTAAATAAGGAAGAATAACCACCATCTAAAATTTTTTTGAAAATCACATTTTACAAAGTTTTGAATTTTCAATTATTAATTCAAATAGCAATAACATATAATAATAATTTATTTATAAATGAGTATTCCCTTTTCCTTTTGTAATTAAGACGAATTAACTTAAGTATTGAGTAGATTGATTTCTAAATTAAAATACAATTTTCAAAATATTTAGTAATTTCTTCTATTCAAAGCATGATAAATCAAAGGTTAAGTTTTGTATGTACTTTATTGGTTTTTGAGAAAGAATATATTTTTCTCTTATAAATCTATGATAAGAATTGTTCGAATCAAAATTTCTGATTATTAAAAAATAGTTGGATTAAATTAAATAACAGCAAAGCTTTGCAAAAGAACAATTTTATGAGCTTGCAATAAGGTGAGAGATTGAATACTTAAAGAAATATTTCTATCTGAGACAGATTAAAAGCGGCTAGATGGCAAAATCTGAAAATAGTTCGCTCAAATGATTTCAATTGAGAAAATATGTTTACCAGTTTATTGACTGATGGATCTTGCTGATGTTACGTTTTCTTTTATGACTTTCCTTTATTTTAGAAGGCTTATACTTATTATTCCGCTACATGAATAGATCTTTATGATAAAAGGGTACAGTTAAGACAACAATCAAAGTAATCTTACTTAATATATCACTCTATTTTTTCTAAGCAGGCGCAACGATTATACTTATTTTATAGTATAAGGATATTTTATAAAGCTAAGACTAAATTTATAAATTTTCAAGTATTTATTTACAAATGATATGTATTATAGGTTTATATAAAAATGAGTTGCTACATTATTTGTTCCAACAAAATATTTTAACAATTTTCCTCAAAGCAGAGAAATTAATTGAAAAGAAGTAATAAAAAACTAGGTGTTTAATGTTAATATTTATTATAGTTATTATTTTTCAGATTTGAATAATCCTTTTTTCCATCCCAAACTCTCATAAAGGATTTCATACTACTCAACAAATCATAATTATCATTTTTGTTAGTATCCTTTTACTCATCATATCCAAGCCATTAAATCCTTTCTTTTACACTTTAAAGCGATTAAAGTTTTAAATTTAAAATTTCATAAGAAAACTCTTAATTATCTTAATCTAGAGTATTAATGTAATTTTATTAATTTTTTGAATTTAATAGTAAGCTGTGGTTGAAATATGCTCTTAGATGTATATAATAACAGAACAAGAATTAACAAATTTCATAAGTTATAATTTACAAATTA